TAAAATAATATAAAATATAAAAATCACTCTTAATTAATAAACTACTAAAATAAAATTAAATATCAAAAGTGAAACTATTTTTTTGTATTTTCAGATGTTATAATAAAGTAAAAAGTAGAGAAAATAGGCTAAAGTCATGGTAAAATTAAAATACTATAAACATAAAATATACTAATTGACCTTAAACTAAAAAATAAAAATATTTTTGTGCTTTTAAATTGTAATTTGAAGTAAAAATTGACCAAAACTCCATAAAAACTAAATTTAAGTTAAATAAATATTTTAAACACTAAAATAGCTCAAAATACGTGACAGGTAAAAAATTACGTGCTTACAATCTCTAAACAAGAAATCATAATATAATAATATTAATATATTGTTCACTACATAAAAATTTATTTATTATTAGTTAGAGTATAATATTTATATTACAACTCACACAAGGGCTCGTTTGGTATGAGGGATAAGGAATAATTAATCCCGGGACTAAATTTAAGAAGAATTTATCCCATGTTTGGTTGGAAGAAAAATACGGTATAATTAATCCCGAGATTAATTATTCCGGAATTGCAGGGGGTTTTTATTCTCATGAAAAGATAGAATAATTAATCTCGGAATAATTAATTCTTGGATAATTTCTTTCCAACCAAACGAACCAAACGACCCCTAAGTGTGCAAATATCTCTAGAATAATGCCATGAATAATATTTAAGAAAAAAGGAAAAAGAGAAATGAAGTACGTACGAAACTTGCGCCACGAGGAGCCAGCCCGTTGGGGACATTTGGCAAAAGTAGCCAAAGCCAGGTCACCAAGTTGCTAGCTAATTATCTACACCGCTTTTTGGACTGGACCATCTTATAAAGATAAACTGTGGGACCATATTGTCCCGCCATATATATCCTCCCAACACCATTTCTGTTCTTGCATTAACAGAATACCTAACTGTAAGTTTTCCAAACTACTACTATATCCATATCCATTATGCTTCAATCATATAATTCATATATATAAAAATAAAAATCTAATGAATAAATGTAGACAACGACCTAGCGTGAAAGCTGAAAACTGAGTAGACGTGGTAGCTGTCTTATTTTAAGTCGTTCTTATCAATCAATCCTTCATAATTTCTACTATGCCCCTTTCCCTTCTTAGCTGCTGACGCTCTGCACCAGAATCTAGATAGTCAGAACTCAGAAACAGAAACTTTCCTTTTTCAGGTTAGTATACGTCTCTTCAATCTTAAACATATTTCAAACCCCTTTTAAAGAGTTGATATCATTAAAATAAGATTGAAGTCCAGAATCCAAGATTTTAGGAGATTGTGATTATATGGCTTTGAATTATGTGGATTTAAAACTAGTAAGAAAGGGTTTGGACTACACTCGAAAAAATAGGAACTTGGTTGTTGCTTTGGGAGCTCTTGGTGTCACTGGTTATGGTGCTTATAGAGCTTATTGGTCACCTTCTATGGTTAGAAAAAGGGAGAAAATTTTGAAAATTATAGGTGCTTTTGTTTCTTTAGCCGAGATGGTGTCTGATTCAGCTGATGTAATTGGGATTGTCTCTAAAGATCTAAAGGAGTTCATTGCATCTGACTCTGATCAAATTCCTGGAAGTTTGAAACAGATTTCTAAGATTACTAAGTCAGATGAGTTTTCACAGTCTGTTGTTAATGTCACAAGTGCGTTGACTGTGGGAATTGTGAAAGGTTACCAGCAAGAAACCGCGAAAAATGGCGTTTCTGGGGTTGCAAATTCTGGTCTATTTGACCATGTTTTGGATAAGCTGTTTTCTGATGCAGGGTCTGGTTTTGCTTCTGTAATTGTTGGGAGCTTCGCCAAGAATTTGG